CCAGCTGTGGCGGCTGCATTTCCGATGGAGGCGGAAATGTTGTAGGCCAGTATGCTCAGATTTAGGTGAACGTTAAAGAACCCAGGTGGTCGAAATTTACGGAGCCCTCCACTACGGCGTCTCTCATAATCGTATGGTGGTTTTTGTACGTTAAACCCCACATATCAATCATATTACACCTAAGCTGTGGTTTCTCTTGACCGTTGCATTGACTGCCCACTGATAGAGAGTTATTGTCCCAGTATATATATATATCTCCGACTATAAGTGTACCTGTTTACTATTTATGTGAAGAGTCTTCAGCCCATTGGCATGGTCAGTTTGCAGTGACTGTAGTAAACTTGTGTTTTATTACCTTTATTCCACGCTCCATTTCGCATGACTGTGGGTACCTAGAAACTTCGATCGCGCAATAAATGCCTCTAAAATAGCATGCGCACTCTAGAGCTCAAAGTCCACGCTTGAATTTTGTTCTTGCTGGCTGGAAGAAAAGTATCGCGTTAGGCGCTTGACTGTGCTTGCATATAGCAAGAGATTTCACCCTGGTAAATACGGTCAGTCGCCACACTTCAGCCTTATTTCAGCGTGCGTCCCATTTCATTTGTGTGCATCATTTGCGCATATACAGTTATTCATTGTAGCTCTTGAGTGCGAATACATGCAATATATCATTACCTATGCCTTATAAGTTACCAAAGTCTTCCGTTGTGAAACAGCAAAACATAAGGAATACTTACAGAACACCAGCAGAAAAATATAGGACCTCGAGGACACAAACTCAATGCAGATAAGACATTTATTTCATCTCCCGTGCACGGCGTCGTATACACAAAGGCCGTTTAGCACACGCCGCTTCGCATTATTGTTTTCTTATGTACAAACAACATGACCACAGTCTAAGCACAGAGGTGCGTGAATGTGGACCACTACGTGGCGTTCTGACCACTCTTGTTCGGTTCCTGACAAGTGAGTATTAACAATTTGTGACAAGTGGCACCTTACTGACGTTTCTCAGATAACACTTTTACGGGTGGCAGCCGAGAACACGCATCTCGCATGTCTCATAATTCATTTTCTTTTCAAAGGATGACGTACTATAACAAAACACCATAACAAGTGCCAGCACCTTAGAGCGGCGCTTTAGTTCAACCGCTTCGGCACTAATTACCCAGCCTTTCCTTGGTTTGGTGCGACCACCCGAATAGATCCGTCATGTACACCTCCACGCGACCATGAGCAACATGACCTCAGATAGCGAGTCACATGCGGGTACAAATCTCAGAGCCAATACATAGCGACGCCTGCAGCGGATCTTTGCGAGTGGACGCGACCTTGAGAGCGGAAAGGCGCGCTAGACTGCAAGGGTGCTCCAGAGCGTAATTAAATTCTGAAAAATAATAAAAAAGAATGATCATTTAGGGCTCCATATTCACGGCCATAACACGCCATTTAGAAGCGACACCCACATTTTTTTAATAACATAAGCCAATACGATGCACAAGCCTAGGGCCAACTAGAACATTCTTTGATAATACGGTGCTCACCTGCCTATCAATCGTAACCGTCTTAATCATCACATGTCGCGCATCATGTATCTGCATTACACACAGATTCTAAATAGCGGCCCATGCTTCTGTCTTCTGCAATACTTCTCGTTTGAAGCACGTGCGTAATTACGATAGCCTTTTTTATAACAAAAAATAGCTGACTTCTCAAACATTTCACAAAAACAAGCAATATTTGATGCATCAAGGTTGCTGTTAGTGATATTCAAACAAATATTCATGCTCTAAATTTTGGCTGGTACATGTTTACATGTTTCAAAAATAAAATACGATCAAACAATCGACTCACAATGGCTTTGGGGTTCTTTTGTTTCTGCCAAAGACTATGCAGTTTCGACCAAAAATCTATGAACTAGCGTTAAGCCCACTGTATGGCAAACTTGAACACATCATAATGAGTGTGGGTCATAATGCTAGTTTCCTTGTAGGAACCCTAAAAAAATAATATTAAGTTGAGATGTGTTAATAAGTTCAAATTTTCCAAAAAAAAAAACACATAAAACCGATGGCAGTGACTTGGGGTAGTTACCGCACCGAAGGCAACTTGACGCCACAGATTTAGTCAGCGCCAGTAAGCTAGACTGCTTACCAATGAAGGAGGGCCAATAGAACTAAATATTTATTTTAGCAAGTTTCTTGACCATTTCAAGAGCCAAAGCCGACCAGGATGCGAGAAAATACCTTGATATTCATAAAAAATTTTAATGGCCGTCGCCAAAGTCGTTGTGCAAACTGGCAGATAACTAACATCGAGTAAGCGAGTGAATCTTTCTTTGAAAAAAAAAAGAACTTAACAGTTTGCACCTGTATTTATCGTCCGTTTGTTGATGCCGCAAGGATAACCTGCACCCCGCACAGCAGGTGACAATGTTTCGATAGTGCGGGTGAAGTAAAATGTTCTATAAATAGTGGTCGGATGAATAACTTGAGACGCACACAAAACAATGTCGTGAAGTAGGAACAAAATGCTAAGTAGATGTGAAGTATAAGATGCAGAACATAAAACAGCAATGACACTTATCGAAATTTGTTTTGTTATAAATAAATGAACTAAAATGCACGGCCCGTAGATATCAGTATATCTACTTTGAGATGACGTGAACCTATGAACAGAACATTTCACAGAGCTCAGAATGTCCCAGATACAAAACTTTGGCTTAAAACTGAAAGTCACTTCGTTTGGATAACAATATTACATGTTGATGATAAAAATCAAACATGGTTAAAAAAACCACAGGCAAGAAAATATAAACGACTAGTGTACGTGACCCGCCACGAAAATGTTGACCATGAGAAGATAATGAAGGACGTAAAAAATACTAACAGGCTAAGATGGAATTGAAGAAGACAACACTAGGAACAAATCCGCTGACTCAAACAATACAGTTTTTCTGTGACGCGGTTGACAAACACTTGTCCCAGTTAGCAGAAAGGGGTGGACGCGAACGGTTAATGAAAATTGCTATAAATATAAAAGAAAACAAATGGTAGACTAGAAATCATGACCCCAACGTCGTTGGCTTACCCGTACATTACCGACACATCCCTGAGTGCACAAGGCATGCCGTGTAAGCTGCATGCAGAAGAGGACAGACTTCCTACAATAACGTTGGCTGCGCTACACAGCTTCACGGTAAAGCCAACTTTACGCTAAAAGCAGATTTACGGTAATAACGTCCCTTTTATGCCACCGTAAATACATTCGTATTGCATATGACATCAACGCAAGCCCGCTAGAAAAGTTTTCAAGTATTGCTCAAACAGTGAAGTAGTGAGCGGTACGGAAACGCTTTAAAATTTCGGGCATCATAACTATGTCCATTGAGTTACGATTCGGCAATACCTTTCAGACAGAGGAGTGGAGAAATACATGTTTGGCAAATGCACATCTCGGCCTTAGAAACAGTCATGCGGGTTATAAAGAAGAACTAGCTCCCCTTGCTTTATACGTGCTCTTGTAGACACTTAATGGGATCTCTTTTAAAGTGCTAGATATAGCCAGTAGAGCGGACATTTTGGGCCTAATTTCCTGGGTATAGCCAGCATTTAGGCATGTCTTGACTAAGACTGTAGCACAATTTGTATGTTATGCGTGACATCACACGTATAGCTTAGCATTACTGCTGTAAACAATGCATAAGCCTGTTTCCATTGCGAATATGCAGTTATGACCTAGTTGAGCACAAATCTCAGCTTTTTTTCTTTCATGCTTAACAAAAATTAAAAAAAGACCAATAATAATTTCACGCCTAACTATACTTTTAGATATTTACTGGAAGAGTGAATTCAGTTACTCCAGAGACAAACAGTAAAGCAGCTGACCGAGTTCGAGACCCTGATCATACTTTGATATAGTTAAGCCAGCAAAAACTTTGTGACGGAATGTAAATATGCTCGCCTCTAATGATACCATTAAAGGCTGAACCACTCTGTGTGAACGTAGAGGCCCCGTTAGATTTTGTTTTGTCGTACTACCACCTTTAGACATGTTACAGGTACACGAGACGCTTCAATATATAGTCGGTAATTTTGTTCGTTACTCTGTATTTTGGAAGCTCTTTCGCAGCGCCTGACTCAATCACACCTCTTCTTCACTTCGGTTCCACGCAGAATTCACGGCAAACCTTGTGCACAGAGAGATTAGAGGCTACGACGCACAACCTTAACTAAATACGACTGAAGTAATGCTCCTGGAAACAACAAAATGTACACATATTTTCAATCGGGTACTTGTTTTAAAAGCCTGAAAGCATGTAATTACACTGCTAGCAGGCGAACTTGTAATAATTTGAAACTATACACACGCACAAACAGAGTAACAACCATCAAGTGATGAAAATTATACTAATATGCTTGGCTTTGTGCACATTCGGGAGTCGTAAATTTGCTCCGCAAAGGAAAAAAAAAAACACCACACACACACGAAGTATTGCGCGATGGATAACTTATCCATGACCATACAATGACGTCGATAACATTGAAAAGAGTGCTTCCAAACAAGCTGGAAGTGACGTCGTATGCCTACGCACCCTGATTCAGAGTTAGAACTAAAATTGACTCGTTCAACATTGTATAGTTCGCCTTCGACCACGCAAAATCATTGACCCAATCGTGAAGCCCGCAGATTTATTTCCAATAATACCGCGTGCCTGTTGGTACTGATCATCGCTTATCCTGCTCATTGATTTTTCGCACGGAATTCCTCGCTTTTAGGGTTTCCCATCGGAGTCCCTTATAAATATTAGATTTGTGAGAATTCGTTTTAGCATCAAAAAATTTTGCTCACATTGAGTGCTGTCAAGGAAAGACTCGTAACGCTTTGAAAATCATCTCGTTTTTATCCAACTGTAATTTCTTTTACTTCTCTCGGGCAGAATCTGCCCTTCGCTCTTCTACGCTCCCCCCCCCCCCTTTGTTTATTTATTTTTTGCTTTTAATATTAACAGGTCATGTGAATTCCGTAACGCTATACACAAGTTTGACAGCATCCAAACGGCCCTCGAATAACGAATACGACTATTCTGCTGGCCAACATAAAGCGGGTCACTCTCACGGCCTGACAGAGGAATTCAGTACCAGCGGCGATTCAGCCGACAGTCGCAACGCGAAATAAGGAGGTAGTAGTACTATCAAAATAATGCTTTAGCGTACACTGATAAAACGGCACTAAGCGAGGATTACACTCTTCCAGTATACCCGCAGAAAGCAGGGATGCAAATTTGATCATCTCTCTAGCCAAGTATAGTGTAGTTATTAAAAATATACTCGTAGCTTGAATGCATATAGAGCCCATGTAGTGCCCGCGATTTTTGTGCCAATGACTTTACGCTGTTACGTCTTCCAGTGAAGCATCATCTGGAGACACAGCTCCGACGTTCGCTACAAATAAGGAAACTTAGCTTCGTCCTCTATGAAAATATTAGTTTCCCGCCTTCTGCACTATCACAAGCGTCTCTTAACACGGCACCGCGAGTCTTCTGGAATAGATTAACATAGCACTGAAATCTGAAAAGATGTCCCAGCGACGCACCTTCGTTACACCGCGTGCACCTAGCACCGCACTTCAGTTCCGGGTGCATAATCATTCAGCTCGACGAAGATCTCCCAAATGACGCAAACGGAAGTATACAGCCGAACAACAGAAACATCGCAGGGCGCATTCAGGACAACACGAAGTGATGCGCCACCGACGTACACACTCACAAAATCCCGTTGGCCGGGCACAAAATACACGCAGGAACAAAGTTAGGCCACACTTTCAATATGCTCTATAGTACTTCTCGCGAACACTCAGCAGCTGTCAACAAAACACATGATAAGCGCACGAGAACAGATCATCTGAGAGCGTTAGCAGCAACAACAACATAGTCGTGATCTCTACAATATGTACAACGTGAAGATGTGTACATCAAAGTGTCTATCTCTCGGTTCGATGTCCATCTTCCATCGTCCTCCACTGCGAGGGCTGGTGAAGTTCGAAGCACATGACAGTACGCACACTGTCTCCGACGTCTGTCGCACGTGGTGGTGCCTGAGTAGCGAGGACGTAAACGTTCGTGCGCCTGAACGATTGCGCGCGTTCACAACACCCGTCGAAACAAGCAGTTACACTCACGAACGAAACGAGAACAATGCCGAAGCGAAGCGAAACAACACACACACACACGAAGGGGTTTGACAAGAGGAGTGCGACCATGCTCGTCGGTGGACCATGCCGACAGAGGCGGTCAGCGACGGCAAGCATCCCTGCAGCGTTCATCGATATATAGCTTCATTCGGTATAGGGTGCTGCTACTGCCGCCACGATAGCACAACTCTCGGTGGCCGCAACGCCAGGTCTTTCAGGCGGCATGGCCAGCAGGAAGAAGAGCTCGGTGTTACCAGCCTGTCTATGGTCCGTATAGGTGGTTTGCGCCGTTTCTATGGCTGTTCTTGTATTCTTGTATTCCTCTATCCACCGCTGGATTATGGTGCGACTGATGAGTCTCTCGGTTCCAGCCTGTTTGAAGGACCGGGATCCTGGACCATGAACAAAATGACAAAGTGACGAGCCAGTAAATACACCGTCAACGGCGATAACGTGTATGCCTTGCAAGAGCTAGAGTGGCTACATCCCGAACAGATGTGCTGGAAAAATGTACGCACTTGTTTCACCCTTCCCATGTACGAATCATTAAACGCACTGAAGGACTGTTTTAGAAAAAAGAACAAAAATGTGGTAACTTTCTTGCTTGTAGACACATCAACCACGTAGTAATGCAGTACCCAATGCGTACTGTGCAGTCGGACCTTTTATTGTGAGAGACCATCTTGTATAGGTCGCCAAAGTTTGGTACATGCACGCAAAGCAGCTGGCAAAAGCTTCCGGAACGATTAGGCTTTGCCTTTAGAAAAAAAAACACGGTAGCGTCCTCCGGCCTGCGACTCACTAAATCTTCCTGGAACATCTGCGCTTTCAAGAGAGCCATGTCTGAGGGCACGAAATGCCCAGTCAGGTGCTGCAGGTGGCAGAACCGTATTAGCGCCACCGCTAATGCTAATTGTGAACCAAGTGAAATTCTGACTTTTTATTCCTTGCATCTATCGGCACATTTCGCTTACCAACAACGCACCAACGACGATGCGGACTCCCACATTCTCTACGGGACGGGCTCTTTAACGCTTTTGGCTTGAAATGCGCGTTCTCAACGAAATAAATTAGCAGGAGCTAGCGCTAGTGTCCTGCCATCCTAACCACTCTATTTGCTACTGGATCAAAGGTAGCTTTTGAACACAGCGTGTAGGCAGCTGATTTATTACTGTTCCTTTTCTACGCGATCTTATCGTGCCTTCGCTTTCCTTTTTTTATATTTGACCCATACGTCCTTTACTGTAGGTGCGCTTATCTCCCTTTTTTTTCTTTATCCTTTAATTGTTTTTCCCAGCATAGTTAACAAGGCCAAAAATAATCTAAACAAGCATCTCGTTGTGCTTTAGACTGTGTATGCCCGTTACTTTCGCACACTTTTTGCGACTTCGTGGTTGACTTGAAGAAACACCTGAGCGAACTCATCATGAACCGGAGTAGTTAAGCACCCGTGGGATTTTCTAACTGACCACGCTAACCACCTCATTAGCGAGACCTTGTTGACAGCACTTCGCGAGAGTAGTCGACCATGATGTTCAGTTTGCATAATTCCTAACGCATGCGGAAATGGGATACAGTGGTGAGTGAAGCGCGTGTTTACTGCGGGCCAGGCAGTTTAGTCAACCGTTATCACAATCTTGCAAGACCACGCTGCCTTCGTGACGAGATCCCAGTTCCACTTAGAAATAAAGAGCGCAAGTTGTTGGCAAATGTGTTCGTGAAGAAACAAAAAAAAGTCAGGATACTCACTGTTGACGAGCGGGCACCGGACATGGTATGCCGCGAACCGCGTTATTTACCTGCGTAGAAGAAGGCGTAAACTTGAGGTGTTAGGTTTCTCTACGTATACACGCGAACAAACACACACACACTCACACACTGGCCATGCATGAAATTGTAAAACATGGATAAATTGAAACTACGAGTGAAAAATTGTACTCTCGCACGCTGGCACGAATTATAGTACAAATGAAACAAAGCGAATAATTGTACGCTATGCACAAGTTATAGTACAAATAAAACAAAGCAAAAATCGATGACTCGCACACACACGTGGTAATCGTCGACCACAGAGGCTTTCTTTTACGTTTACTGAAAACGCTTTACTTCAGTTCTGCACTTTCTGAGTTGTAGCAGCGTTTCCAAGACAAAAGGTAGTTAACGTGTCTGCTTAAAGAGGGTCTTCCTTAAGAGAGACAAATTAAGCTAGTTGGTGCGCATTCATTTTTGAAGAAAAAACAGCGCAAACACAACAAAAAAACGTATACAAGCCGGAGAGGGAAGACACACAGCATTGAACTTATAACTCGAACCGCTGCACTCACAACAAAAATTTGTAAGCTGTATCTACTACCTTTTTTCTTGTCCACGTGTGTGTACTTTTTCTTTTCTTCAGTAAAGTATAACCGGATGCTTTATCACGCCACTGGTAACATGGCGAAGACCCGGTTTTAGTTAAAAAAAAACGACTTCCAGTTAAGCTAATTTTCTGTCGTCTCAACGAGGTTGAAACACACTTGCGTGCTTCACACTCAAAGAAGGAAAAACAAAGTGTTCTGACTCTTTTTTGCAGACTCCTCACTTGCCACATGTATGACTCCCTTTAAAGAGACACGTGAACTCTCTTCTCAGATCTGTACTCTCTAGCCGGAGAGTCTCCGAACCCCCGGAGTTAGTTGACGTATCATTTGGAATAGAAGAAGGAGCTTAGTGTGGGGGAGTCGGTGAAGCATACAATAAATACTCTTTAAACAGAGTCATAAACGCGGCAAAGTCTGTACTCACCGACAAGAGTACTCTATATTATTGTTGTTTTTTAATGCCGGTGACCGAAGGAAGTGACGGTAAACTCACAGAGGCTGCGTCTCCGCCGTGGCTGGTCACCTGGAAGCGCAGCGGTGGGCGCATGCCAGCAGCCACTGCACGAGCAGCGACACGAGCAGCGGCAGCAGGGAGCAGGCGGCTGCGCAGTGCGGTGTCGCGGCCGCCGTGAGCGCCATGCCGCCCGCGTCGTTCTGCACGGCGGCCAGTCGCCGGTGGCTCTCGAGAACGTGCACCAGCACCCAGGTGGCGTTGGCGTTGGCAGGCTTGCAAGTGTAGTTGCCCGAATCGGCGGCGTCCACGGCTGGCAGCAAGAGGCGAGACACGGCCGTACCGTTGGGACCCTTGGCCACGCTGACGCGTCCGCCGCGCTCGAAGTTGATCAGGCGCCCCTGGTGATACCAGAAGACGAAGGCCGGCGCCTCCGGGCTCTCGCTGATGCTGCACGTCAGGTTCAGCGCCGAGCCAGCCTCGACGTGCAAGTCGGGGCCGCCCAGGATGCTGGCCTTGGGTACTGCGACGCCATTGGGGCGTTAGAGGTGTGAACGCGAAAACACCGAATAGACGGATTGATATGCGCGTCCGCAGCAGCCATACGGACGCGGCCTGTCATTGAAAATGGCTTGCAGGCTGGGTTCGTAAGGTTGCTGCGGACGCGCAACTAAATCTGTCATAACAACAGTTGAACGCGTGTCCGCGTGTGGAGCTGCAAATTCCGTCATAAGACAATGATCTTCTGCAGACCTTTTTTCGTGCAGAGCACCGCATATTTAGCAAAGTCTGAGAAACGCCGGGGCCTTTAGGATTACGTATCTACGTATTGCCTAGTAAAAGAACACACCACCTAGTACTAAAGTATTGCTGTTCCGTTTCAGATATGCATAATATTTGCTTTTTGATCGACAATGTTCACAAGTAGGAAGGCAGCTACCAGTTGAAGATGGCTGGTCGTTCAGCAAGTGCTTAAAGTCAGCTCGGGTGGCGGAATCGTGTGACCGAATGACAACAGACAGACAGACAGATTCCAAAGAAAGACTACAGTTTCTAGTAATATGTGTTGCGTTATTTCCCGGTGCAAATAAAAGAAGCCCTGCGGCGCGTCGCGATCGGCGGTCCTATGAGAGAGGAGTCCCCATGTCGGAGAGCCGACATGTGTGTGAGTCGGCGGTCTTAGGCGAAAAGCTGACCTATGTGTTAGAGAGGAGAGCTCGGCTCTTCGAGTCTCTGTCGGCCCCAGTGCCGAAATTGTAACGCCTCTGTATATGCTGTACATAAACCTTGTTTAACTCACCGTCGTCTCGTCCGCTCGTCTTATCAGCTCTGCGCAGAAGCGGTCGCGAGCTGAGAAACATACGCTACCAAACGGCTGGTGACCTTCCCGGCGGAGTTGAAAGCAGTGGCGCCTTCGGGACCGTGTTGGCGTCGCCGTCTTTCGCAACAGTGGTGGCTTCGGTGGGATCGGTCCGTCTTTCGCAACAGTGGTGGCAGCGGTGGGATTTCGGAGGTGGTTTCGCAACAGTGGTTGGCAGCTGCGGGATCGGCCGGCGTCAGCGACATCGATGCAGTGAGTGCCTGATGTTTTTCCCCTCAGTTCACCAGACTACTCTAGCTCAGGTTGTAGTAGTTTAGAGAAGGGCTGTGTGAAGCATTAGAGTGAGCTTTGATCGTTTCAAGTAAAGTCGAAGTGCTTTGAAACCAAAGTTAATGCGGAGGGGGTAAACACGGGAGAGTGAAAAATTGCTTGCGCGTCTTGCTAGTTGACTTATAGTGGGTACGGCAAGTAAATTGTTAACAGGGGCAACAGCAAGAGGCTAGTGTGAACGATGGAGAACCTTAAAGTGAAGGAACTCATCGAAATTTGTGAGGAACTCGGCATTACTTTGGGCCGTGCGAAACGAAAGCAAGCGATCCTTGAGATCATGAAGGATGAGGGAGTGTCGGCTGAGGAAGTCGATGAGGCTTGGGTGGATATAAAAGCACGCCGTGAGGAGGCTGAAAGGCGAGAAGTAGAAGCTCGCGAAGAAGCTGAAAGGCGCGAAGCTCGCGAAGAAGCTGGAAGGCGCGAAGCTCGCGAAGAAGCTGAAAGGCGCGAAGCTCGCGAAGAAGCTCAAAGGCGCGAACGTCGCGAGGAGGCCGAGAGACAGGAGCGTCTCGAGTTGAAACGACTAGAATTGGCAATCCTACAGTGTTCGCAGGCGCCTAGCGTAGCTTCTCCAACAGTTCAGGTCAGCGGTTTTAGAATTCGGGACCAACTGCCACCGTTCGTAGTAGGCGAGGACATGGCGAAGTATCTCGTCAAGTTTGAACACGTCTGTGATCGAAACGCTTTGGAGCGGCCTCTGTGGGCGCGGAACCTGCTAGCTCTTCTTCCCGGCGAAGTGTCCGACGCGATAACTTGCTTGTTGAGGGAAGCGTTTGAGAGCTATGACGAGGTTAAGGAAGTGCTCTTGAGACGTTATAAGTTGTCACCCGAGGCTTTCAGGCAAAGGTTCCGGTATTCTAAAAAGGGGAATGAGTCACACGTTGACTTCGCGTTTCGTCTTAAAGCCGATTTGATTGAATGGCTCAAGGGCGAAGGTGTTTATGACGACCGCGATAAAGTGGTGGAATGCGTTGCATTGGAGCAATTCTACCGCTGCATCGAGGAGGATGTCAAACTTGGCTGCAGGACAAACTTGGTGAAGTACAGCTAAACAAGGCAGCAGAGTTAGCTGAGGAGTATTATACTCGCCGAAAGTTGCATAGCAGGGCAGTGCGCGTTGAAAAGGATGAAAGAAAAGAGGGCTTTTCAAAGAAACCTGATCAACGGAAACCCGCTCCGCACCGTAATTTCAAAAAGGACCCGTCTCTTACGAAGGACACTGTAGAGGAAGGGAAAACAGAAGCGGAAAAATTGAGTGAGGTTTCTAAACAACGCACTGATACCACACGGGCGTTTGAATCACGGAAGCCACTAATCTGCTACAACTGCAAAAAGGAAGGGCACATCGAGATAAACTGTAAGCAAAAGTTTGCTTTTGCAACAATTAGAGAATTGGAAAAGAACATGCGGTTGTTGGAGCCGTATATCCAAGAAATTAGTGTGAATGGGAAAGCGTGTCGAGCACTTAGAGACTCCGCGGCAACCATGGATGTTGTCCATCCTTCATTGGTGTCTCCGGATGACTTTACAGGAGAATGCGCGTGGATCAGGCAAGTCGCCGAGGAGCAGAGTGCTTGCTTACCAATCGCCACGGTTGTCATTGAAGGCCCGTTCGGTGAGCTTCGCACCAAAGCGGCTGTGTCTGCTGCGCTAAATGATCGTTTTCCTTATCTCTTCTCCAACAACTCAGAGCAGCTTCTCAAAGAGCAGGGTAATTCGTTCTTCCCCAACTTAGCGTACATGGCCCTCACGCGATCGCAAGCGCGGAAGCTCTCGCAAGAGCTTGACCTTGTTCAAAGCGGTGAACTCTCAAGTGACCTTGTCGGCGGGTCGACGGAACCTCAGAGAGGAAATTTTCCGCGTGAGTCATGTGAGCAGTCACGCGAGCGGCCCGTCGCCGAACCGACCGGCGCGGTTTCCGTAGAAAGGGGAGACGACATGGCGCCATTGAGTCAGAGCGAGAGGGTTGCAACGCTCTCGCCTGTAGCGGAAAGTTGGAGCGAGCTGCCGAGAGGTTGATCGAGAGACGCTCATTCGAGAGCAGCGTGAGGATCTCTCGATTGAAGCGCTAGTGGAGAGCCAAATTGAAGCGCTAGTGGAAAGCCAGAAAAACGCGGCAAAAGTGCTGTCGAAGGAGCACTACGAGGAATCGGTGAAGAAGCGTGCTTTTGAAGTAGGGAGTCAGGTAATGCTGCTGCAGCCGTTTCAAAAGAACAAGCTTGAGGTTGATTGGGAAGGGCCCGCCAAAGTATTATCGAAGCCTTGCGATACAAATTATGAAGTGAAATTAGGAAGGCGGCCGGACAAAATTTACAACTTGAAGCAGTCGTAAATCAGCTGTTGAATGCTTCAAAGGAAGAGGAAGCAGAATTTTGAGTTCTAGTGAGGTATTGAAGGGGATCGAAAGTAATCCGGGAGCAGATAAACCTAGAGCCTAGCTTAAAGTGAAGGAGGACCTGAGAAGATTGGTTCCGAGTTTGAAGACGTGTTTTCGACCGCCCCGGAAACACGAGGGTGATCGAACACGATATCGAGCTAAGCGGTGAGGAGTCAATCCGTAGCAAGCCGTATCGTTGTTCCCCTGTGCAACGTCGAAAGTGTGAGCCGCTCTTGGTGCCGCATAGGTATCGTCGCCTAAAAGTGGCCGATTACTGAAGTGGAGCATGTTGCTCCCAGCGCAACTTTGACGTTCGCTATCAAAAAAAAATAAAGGAAAGGTAAACGCTAATGCAGGTGCATTGAGCAGTGCGTTCCAGCTAGTAACTTCTCAACCTTTCGGTTTCTCGCTGGCGATTCGGGGCAAAATTTTGACCTCATCACGACCTGGGCTGAGCGCTCTCGTTCAGAGTGATCTCAAGGGGCCAACTTTGTGGTATTCTAATTCGTTACGTTGTTGTACGTGGGAAAAAAATTGAGTTGTCATTTTAAGAGTCTTGTGTCCCACATGTGCCTCTTGATGTAGAGGGAACAAAATTCCGATAGACACGTAGATAGGTATATGTTGTACTATACTTTGTCTGGTGTTCTGTCGGGTGACCGAGGGCACTTGCGTGTGTCGTGTGTTGTCTGTTGTCGAACCGTTCTTAGCAAGTTGCAGAACCATCGTCAAGTGCTGAAACCGAAAATGGTCAGAAGAGACGAGCGAAGTCGGCCAGCAAGTTGTGGCGACAAGCCAGTGGAGCTGGGATCCGTCGTCAAAAATGGGATGTGTTTCCGGAACAGTCTGGAGCTGTATTCTCCCCATGGCCCTGGAGGCGAACCTGAAGGGACCTGGCGAACGAGCGCACCTGACATCCGAGCCCCGTAGAAGCAGCTCGTCTTTCCGGTGCATTGTCTGGCGGCGGGGGTGCTGTTATGCCAGCGAGTCCTCGTCAAACGTCCGTGCCTCTGAAAAAGGCAATCTGGGTCAAGGCCAGCCCGCAGTCCGCCTGACGCGAACAACTCAACGGCGTAAACACGCGCGGCGCCTCTCTGGCCCACGTGCAGTGAGTCAGCAGCGCACGTGACAGCGAGCCGGCGTCCTCGTGTCTGGGGGTAACGTGGCCCAGCGGCGACCCCATTGGAGGAATCTGCCCTGACGACCAGCGGCGCTTCTGATTGGACATTTTGGTTGGACCCGGTGCAAATAAAAGAAGCCCTGCGGCGCGTCGCGATCGGCGGTCCTATGAGAGAGGAGTCCCCATGTCGGAGAGCCGACATGTGTGTGAGTCGGCGGTCTTAGGCGAAAAGCTGACCTATGTGTTAGAGAGGAGAGCTCGGCTCTTCGAGTCTCTGTCGGCCCCAGTGCCGAAATTGTAACGCCTCTGTATATGCTGTACATAAACCTTGTTTAACTCACCGTCGTCTCGTCCGCTCGTCTTATCAGCTCTGCGCAGAAGCAGTCGCGAGCTGAGAAACATACGCTACCAAACGGCTGGTGACCTTCCCGGCGGAGTTGAAAGCAGTGGCGCCTTCGGGACCGTGTTGGCGTCGCCGTCTTTCGCAACAGTGGTGGCTTCGGTGGGATCGGTCCGTCTTTCGCAACAGTACTCCACACTCAAAGAAGGAAAAACAAAGTGTTTTGACTCTTTTTTGCAGACTCCTCACTTCCCAAAAGTATGACTCCCTTCAAAGAGACACGTGAACTCTCTTTGCAGATTTCTACTCTCTCGTCGGAGAGTCTCCAAACCCCCGGAGAGAGTTTACGTACCTTTGGAATAGAATGAGGAGCTTAGCGTGGGGGAGTTGGTGAAGCATACAATAAATACCCTTTAAGCAGAGTCATAAACGCGGCAAAGTCTGGACTCACCAACAAGAGTACTTTGTATTCTTGTTGTTTTCTAATGCCACTGACCGAAGGAAGTGACGGTAAACTCACAGAGGCTGCGTCTCCGCCGTGGCTGGTCACCTGGAAGCGCAGTGGTGGGCGCATGCCAGCAGCCACTGCACGAGCAGCGATACGAGCAGCGGCAGCAGGGAGCAGGCGGCTGCGCAGTGCGGTGTCGCGGCCGCCGTCAGTGCCATGCCGCCCGCGTCGTTCTGCACGGCGGCCAGTCGCCGGTGGCTCTCGAGAACGTGCACCAGCACCCAGGTGGCGTTAGCGTTGGCAGGCTTGCAAGTGTAGTTGCCCGAATCGGCGGCGTCCACGGCTGGCAGCAAGAGGCGAGACACGGCCGTACCGTTGGGACCCTTGGCCACGCTGACGCGTCCGCCGCGCTCGAAGTTGATCAGGCGCCCCTGGTGATACCAGAAGACGAAGGCCGGCGCCTCCGGGCTCTCGCTGATGCTGCACGTCAGGTTCAGCGCCGAGCCAGCCTCGACGTGCAAGTCTGGGCCGCCCAGGATGCTGGCCTTGGGTACTGCGACGCCATTGGGGCGTTAGAGGTGTGAACGCTGAAAACACCGAATAGACGGATTGATATGCGCGTCCGCAGCAGCCATACGGACGCGGCCTGTCATTGAAAATGGCTAGCAGGCTGGGTCCGTACGGCTGCTATGGACGCGCAATTAAATCTGTCATAACAACAGTTGAACGCGTGTCCGCGTGCGGAGCTGCAAATTCCGTCATAAGACAATGATCTTCTGCAGACCTTTTTTCGTGCAGAGCATCAGCATATTTAGCAAAGTCTGAGAAAACACCGGGGCTTTTAGAATTACGTATCTACGTATTGCCTAGTAAAAGAACACACCACCTAGTACTAAAGTATGCTGTTCCGTTTCAGATATGCATATTATTTGCTTTTTGATCGACAATGTTCGCAAGTATGAAGGCAGCCACCAGTTGAAGATGGCTGGTCGTTCAGCAAGTGCTCAAAGTCAGCTCGGGTGGCGGAATCGTGTGACAGACAGACAACAGACAGAGCAGACAGATTCCCAAGAAAGACTACAGGTTCTAGTAATATGTGTTGCGTTATTTCCCGTTGCTAAAAAAACCTCGTGTTACACCAAAGAAACGTGTTACTGAAATGTGGTACATTCCCTTTTTTGTGCCCCGTTCGTTAGGGAATTTTAAAATAACGTACGCAGGGGTTGCATTTGTTGAAGTGACCCGCTATCTGCCGTTACTTAACGTGTGCTAGCCAGAAGGTAGCGGACGACGGGTGTGAAGTAGCGACAAACGCTAACACAAAGCTCTGCGTACGCTATTCGAAAGCTGCCTATTTTCTGTATGATTAGCATGGTTATCGAAAGGACGCAAAGTTAGGGTAAAATAATTCACTTGGAAGAGCACCCTTGTGTCAAAATTGCAGTGCAGGCTTACGTATTGTTTGTATATCAAAGTTCTAAAAAGATGTGGTTGTTAGAATAACGAAACTATTTTCTACAACAATGTTACTGTTGAAACATTCATGCCTTGAAAATCTATTTCTTTGCGACGTTCTAGAACAACGAAAGTTAAAGTAAAAAGACGGAGATATTAACTGCATTAATCTTATAGTGTTGTGGCTGCTTGTGCTCTCGTATGCGTGGTTTACGCCGTGGTAGAAGCCTCCTTTAATTGCGTCAAGCGTTCGTATCAGTTGTACCGATGCAATTTAGAAGTTATTTAGTGCATAAGAGACTCTAGGCCTTGGGCACAGTGTTTGAATAAACTTTGTAGATTCCTTGAGAAGTATGGTGCTTTTCGTTAATACGTTTCGTGTAGCTATAGCATATTACTGCGCAGTCTCGAGCTGACTATTTATATATCTCTTTCTTACTCTCTTTCTTTTCTCTCTATTTCTTTCTTTTCTGTTAGTCCCCCTTTCCTCAACCCCAAGTGTAGGGTAGCCAACTGAGTTAAACTTGGTTATTCTTCCTGTCTTTTCTCTTTATTCCTCTCTCTCTCTCTCTCTCTCTCTCTGCAGTCTACGTAATATTGTGTCTAGCGTTTCTATCAGTGACACTGGCGGAATTTATTTAGTTTATGAGCGCATGTAGTGATTTCGTATACAGGTCAGATAAATTTTAATTTTTTTAGCACATTGTGCTCCAAATCGTCAGCACTTGTTTTAAAGCTCTGGAATTACGAATAATGCGTTTTTCTTACCAGCATTCTGAATTGCCAGGAAGCTACAAACATCGGTGCAAGGATGAAGTAAACATTTAGGCTCAGTCTTCCTGTATATATATCAATTTTGTTTCATCTATGCAATGTTTTATTCTTCTTGATATATCTTCGATGTTCAAAATGTGTTTCGTGTATTATATAGGAACCAGTTTATCTTAGATTTAGAATATTTTTTTTTGTTTTTTCGAGTTATCAGCACAATATACCAAATGTGCTGACCCTTCTGAGTGTGTAGCTTCTACAAAAATATTTTATTGATCTTGGGCTAGCCACACTTCTTTACTGACTCAATTTATGTTTTATATATTACTTCAGCTGTAGTCGCGAAGTTGCAGTAACTAAATAACGAGAATTTATGATTTCATGTTTTTTTTGTTTAAACACAATTCTACGTACGCTCGTTTTTTAAAAATAGACTTATTGGCGGAACGCCGTTTCTTCACCTAATGTTATCAATCTATTATTTATTCAAAACCGGACCGTATGCCGCAAATTCTGTTGTATAAATGTAACACCATCAAATCTTCACCCATGACAAGATAAATCAATATTTCAGATCAATTTGTTTTCGGGTAAGCAACACTTGATTTTAATGTATCTACAGTACCATCCAACACGCACTACAGCTTAACACGACGACAAAGAACAACTACTAGAGTCCGTAGAGCGCGTTCGCTAGTATTACAGATTCATGAAGTCAGTACTAACCAACGAGCTCAGCTAAACGCATTAGTAAACCTTTCCACGCACTGCTTTGTCAGTGGTTTAAACGCGCAGTAAGCTAACTTGTAAGCAGAATCTGTATGGCTACTCACTGACAACACGGAGCGAGACGACCTGTCGAAGCGGCGGGTCCGAGTTGACCAAGCACTCGTAAAGTCCGGCGTCCCTGAGCTGAGCGTCGCGTATTTGCAGCGCCCAGTTGTTCGAGAACTGCATGTGCACCGTCTGGAACCGCTCGTCCGACGTGTACCGCGTCAGTCCCACGGTGAGCAGATGGAAGTCGCGAAGTCGGATCCACGACACCTGTCGAGAGAGCAAGACGGAGCGTCTCCTCTGAACGCTGACAAGTACACAAAGGTAGCGACTTGAACAAGAACTCCCCATTGCGGACTCACAGCGGAGGTTTTGATTAGCGAAAATACTAGACCCGTGGTCATCAGGGATGAATGACAAACCAATAAAAGTGCTTCAACTTTTTTCGCTAAGGACACTAATATTTGCGATGAGTATTGAAAGAACAAGATTCAGAGTGTGCACCGGGATCGCGTGTTTGCAGTATCAAAACGAGAACTTTTCAACTCATAAAATGCAAGGCTGCCTACGTAGATGTATTTATATTCTTTTTTTATTTCTTTTAACTTTTAAAGCTTTTTCATTCTAGCAAACAAGGGGAAAGGGGAAGTCATCACCGAAAAATAGGGACAAGTCCGTCATTATTTTCTTTAATTTCAATAGGGAAAAATATTTCGTGTGCGCATCATTTGTATGAAAACTATAGCAGAATAGCTTGAATACATTATTGATTGATTTATATGTGGGGTTTATCGTCCCAAAACCACCATATGATTATGAGAGACGCCGTAGTGGAGGGCTCCGGAAATTTCGACCACCTGGGGTTCTTTAACGTGCACCCAAATCTGATCACACGGGCCTACAACATTTCCGCCTCCATCGGAAATGCAGCCGCCGCAGCCGGGATTTTGAATACATTATTGAAATAGAAAACTTTTGTTCGTCACTTCAATTCTGACTTGCCCCACTTTGATAGCTTAAAAGCCATGACGCTTCACTGCTAATTAAGTTCCGGAACGCGGTTTTCATTACCCGCCACGATATCCGCATTTTGATGGGGGTGAAACGCGAGGGGCATTAACGTTCCGGCGTACATTCAAGAACTCCAAGTCAACGAAATTATTCCGGTGTTTTCGGCTACATCACGTGCCTCACAATCGAATCGTGGTTGTGACACGAAAACACCTTAAAATTTCGTCTTCAAATCTGAGTCACAGAAAATGCCCATTGTGTCTTCATGTCACACTCCTTCAAACATAGTTTTAATTAAACATTAATTTTATTTTATCCGTAAGACAATCACTGATAAGTAGTAAAATTTACCGATAGATTTCCGGGAGCTATATATATTTGTTTATCAACTGATATGAATTGAACATAAGCGTAAGAAAAAGAGAGAACGAGGGGAAAAGATCAAGTAAAAACAGGGGGGTTAACCAGTTGAAGGCTCCGGTTTGTTAGCCTGTGCTAGGGAAGGTGAAAAGGTGAGTAAAAGAGTGAAAGAGAAGAAGAGATAAGCGTAATATCAAACAGTAAAGACTACCCATGACAGACAGTGGCACATGTACGAGGTTCACTTTGACAGGATTCTACACGACAATCAGTTCTCGACAGCGAAGGGCTTTGCCATAGATATGGAAGCACACTTCCGTTAGTTGTACGGACGTTTGTTTCTGGAAGTTGTGAAAGCAAACGGAAACTTACTATGTCTATTGTAACATAAGGCTGGCCAAACAAAGATAGGTAATATATAGTCTGATGAAGCACGATCGCACTGCGTAATTTCTATGGGGTGAGCTGGTGCCCTTAATGTGCCGCATGTACATGTATGACACAAGTACGATGTAGCTACAGCTCCACGCGAGGCACGTCAGATACCGTATGGCACCCACGGTGTGGAAGGTAATGGGATGAAAGTGAGCGACAACAAACAGGCCTCGAACATCGCTTTCCAAACAGTGATTCCCGTACGCACTCTTCACATTTGGGCCGTCTCAACAATGTAGATGCCACTGCGCATTTTTTTTTCAAGAACACTTGTCCATGCAGCTAGCAAGAACAATGCGGTAAACAACAAGTTGTCAAATCTTCACTTCAACTTACTTATTAAATCCTACATTGCGTTCTATGCATACTACATAGAAAGAAATATACGTAACACTTACCGCTATTGCTTTATTAGTTCGACCTTTACACAAATTCATTAACATTATCGTCATGAGTTTTATTTTATTATCTGCGTGTCTTTATCAGTTACGATTTATTGTTCGAGCTGCAATCCGGTCTCTCTTATCTCTATGTGACAAATGAAGCAGATCAGACAACAGTATTCCCTTACGCATGCGCATTATTCCCCATTGAGGGAGGGGGAGGCATAATGTCTCATCGTACTTCCTTCTCCCCTCCCCGTGTTGGTCGAATCCAAAGTATGTTCTTCGCCATAAACAAAATAACTGATCTTCTAACAACAGCTTGCGTCTTGTCCCGAAGTCTGAAGGTGTAATGACTGGAAGTGAACACTTGTTGGACTACAACATCAGGTGCCTTCGGCCGCCAGGATTGTCGAAAACCAGCTTGGCCACAATCCTGCTCCATAAACGAGGACGGAACAGGTCTAAGGGAGTAACATTATGGGGCGGACTCCATGCCCCCCTCTAGGTGTCTAAGGGGTGCGGCCACTCCCCATGCACACGCCTGTACCTATTCCTAACAGTAGCGTCAGGAATTATGTAATACCTAAATAGAACTATGCTTGTCGTGTTACGCTTATAAATTATGCATTTGTAGGTAATAAGCTAGACAGTTGCCGAAAGACATCGACCATCTGTGTACATAAACTTACGTAGGGCACGTTTACAGGCACGCGCACTCTGAATGGCACTGCCTTTCGAGGTTGTTAGTTATTTTTATGCTTTGTCTTCTGCAGCAGGTCACTGCAGAACAAACCAATAACTGATCTTGATATTACTGGTTCACTACCTAATTTTTTTGTCCATCTTGGTGTATTACGGCAGCGCTGTAATGAATTCAAACGACAATATCAGGACAGGACAGCACTTGTCTTCTCTTCATCCTGTCTTTTGTATTCGTTACAACGCTGTCGTCCATCTTCCTTCCTGCTCCAAGCCCGATTCCACCAAACACAATTGTGTTACCAAGTAACGGGTTTCAATCAACATAGAGAAACCAGTCGATGAGCAGACTGCGTTCATCCATCGTTCTTGCCTACACAATTTAACAACATTCGACTGCTGGGATTGGTCAACTCTACAGTATTAATCGATAACAAGAGACATCTAGAGGACGCTATTTGTCAAGATAAAAGATACCTTTAGAGGACACGGTGACCTTAGCATGCCGTCATGCGAGTTCATGTGACAGGGTCATAGTTCTACCCGCCATGCAGGTATGCATCTACTGTTAGTGGCAAGCTGGTTTAGTACGCATAAACACAGCCGCTCTACCTTTTTAAAACCGTGTACTTTGTGTTCCGGTTAACTACACTGCCCTATAACTTACTTGTTTCATTTAGCTATTCCGATGTACCACGGCTAAGTGTTCTGCGCGGCTAACTGGCAATGCGACATTAACCATTTTCAAGGTTATCCTATTATTTGTACATACGCATGGTTCTGTTGCGTAAAAAGTTTATCACGATTTCAGAGGACGTTTGGATGTAGTCGTTTACTGTATTGGTATCGGAACCACATTTGTTGGGGCACACGTTATGTTCACGTTATACGAACGCGTTATGTCCAAAATGTTCAGGCATATCACACAACAAAACAGAGACGATTCAATCCCCTAATGGTTTGAATCTTGCTATTTCAGCTTCCTTGTATAGAACTTCTACTTGCGCATTGGCTGGAGTGTGCAGTTCCTTATATGGGCCTGGTAGAGCAGAACCTCTGTCATGGAGCGTTGTTAATTCGGAAACATCAAATCATTAAGGTAAACACACAGACGATAAGCTAACGAATAGTTAAAGTGCGTTGTTGGTCGTTCTGAAGCCACGCAGATGTTTATGACAAACAACGAAGTAGGCTGCGTCGTATTCATTTCGATCGCTTGGGAATATTTCACGCAAACAGAAATCATAGCAAATAAGTGGAATGGTATGTACATGTCACCGTCATAGACATATAATCACACTGTAAGGGTGCACGAATGCCGGCCAGTGCACGAGTGTTTCTACGGGAGGGTGGGCTTTATTTGTAGCAGCCACGACGTCAGTGGATCAGCAAGGTCAGCAGATCAGAAGTATACGCATTGACTCTTTTCTCTGTCTCTTTCATTTGGTCACTGACTACATCATTCAGGAAAGGCAAGGAACTACAAAAAGCGGAAGCAAGTTTGTTTTCAAAAGTCAAGGATTATGTCCACGGTTTTTTTTTTTCGCAGTACATCCGATCGCTTCCAAACAAATGCAAAAATAATATTTACGAACAAGAAATAAGCGAGAAATCTGTAAGCACGCCACAGTTTTGCAAGAGACCACGAGATTAAAAGCATAACTGGGCCCGAAAGCTTAGGCAGTAATTTTTGCGATGTGCAAGTGGTTAGCAACAAGTAAAAGTGCTTTTAAATACGCGAATAAAACATGCTGAACATAAAACCTTCACCAAGAAATCCTGACCCACTGTTAGTACGGACGCGTGAGCGCATGCAACGACGGAGCAATCCAACACGTTCTCCAGCTTCGATTAAAAAAAATCAACAGACAAGAGTTAAAAACGAGAAACAAAACCATAATGAGAGTAACTTACAATTTGTCGGTGCGCCTTCTGTAAAGAAAATAGAAGAGAGGGGGAATCAAGGTAAGTGAGCGTGTGTGACGAATTGGCATAACACCAACAACATAAAAGTACCAAGTTGAAACAAGCCGTACACAAAAGTTGTGCAACATTCGAAGCGAACGCTTATTCTCGACAGCGTGTTGACACAGCGAAGCTGTGAGTTGAAGGACCGTCGCTTCAACAGGGAGGTTTAGAATAACGTTTGCAGGCGTTGCGGGCGTTGCGGACATAGCGGGCACCATATGAGTTATAGAATAACGTTTGCCCCTCCTAGGGAACAATCTAGGGACTTTAGCTGGTCCGCAAACTCAAATGCATGGAAACTACACATAGCCTCGACACCAGCACTTCGCGGGCCTAGCGGGCCACGATCGCCGCCCGCTATTTCGGATTTTCTGCGGGCGGGCCGCGAACGCGAACGGTGGCTCACGTACGACGCATGCGCAGTAGCAGCGACCGCACCGCAAGGGCTCGGCGTGCGCTATTCTGAAACTCCCTAATACACGGGTAAAAATAGCAGCCTCTATAGTCGTAAGTTAGGGGCTCAGATGATGCGGCTTCAATGTGTACCTCGGCGCTGCGTGTCATATGTATAAGAATGAGACTTGATGCCAAAAGTTTCACGCATGTGTGCTTGCAATATACAAGTTCTTAATAGTCAAGCCACTAGCACACCGCGCAAAGCGCATCATATACCTGTACAGGTAACACAACCCATGAATAAGTCAGCAGCTACATATACGACAAGATATCCAACGTAAGAAGCCTTATAAGCTCAGCCCGTATAGGTAATGTTTCACTGTGAAAGTTTTGGCCGAAAAACTCACTCATGAAAAGAACCGTCATCCTACATCGTCTGGTGCATATATTTCATGCCCAGATGCTAAAGTTACTACAGGTGACCTCAACACAATAACGAAAAATTATAGCTAGTTAAATAGGCACTTAGGGTAAGGAGCCTTAATGGTGCGTAAACGCCACTCCCGTTTGCACGCTATATATAAAAGCTGGTCATTTTTGCTCCTTTGACGGTCTTGTTACATGACAACGAGGAACTTCACTGTAGGGTTAATGCTTGGCTAAAGAGCTCGAGCATTTCGCATGTGATCACTCAGTCAAGTTCTCTAGCATATTTCATTTCTATTTCCCTGACAGTACAGCGCCGTGGTGTAGCAGTTATGGCGCTCGGCCGCTCTCCCGAAGGTCTCGTGATTCATCCCGGTCACGGCGGCACATCTTATCAGAGGCGACGTGCTAAGAAGCCCGTGTAGGGTGCAACGTCAGTGCACGTTAGAGAACATCAGATGGCCAAAAAAGCAAAAGCGTTCTGTTTTCGTTCTGAGCCAAGTGTATACCTGCCTTAGCGGATGGTTCACAAATGATCGCATGTTTCAATGATCTCTCTCCCAAAGAAGCATCACCTGGGGGCTGTGCACTAAGGCAAAAAAAAATATATAATAACTTTGCTGCTATAGCACAAACTACAAGCATAAATTAAAAAGCCATCAAAAGTGGACCCACGAGGAGCTATGGGCTTTCTAACTTTACTTCCACAAAAGCAGTAACAAAACTTGGTCTTCTATCGTGTGAACACACCAGTGCATGAGCACGTTGATTCAGTGAGCAGAAACTTATGCGGGAAAAAAATCATATAAAACAGTACTCCAGCACAATGGAATGGTTTGAACGCAATCAAAGCCATCAACTTCTGTAATGCCTTCGTGATTATCTCAGTATATTTATTCGAAGTTACCTAAAAACGACTACTCAGACATCTTTCACCTGTACAAATCAGTTCCGAAATTTTCGCAGCGCTTTCCGGGAAGTTTCCGAACTTCCGTAATGGCGCATGCAGAACGCACCGGAAGCGTCATAAATCATCACGTTCAATATAAATCGACCGTACCGGTCCCACTGCGCCCGCTTCAAGTCCGACGCACGTAGTTATCTTTATGCCAATACCTTGACTATTTCATTTTGTTGTTCTCCGAAGGCACATTGCTTCGCGCAAACGAGCGAGCGTTAGCGTTCGCGAACGACGTCATTCGGAATCGCAAAAGCGAGCGCACTGCACGCGCCTTCAAAGCTCATCAGCATCACACGCGATTTTCGAAACGCTATTCTCGCATTTTATGCCCCTTCTGATTTATTATTTGTCCAAGGAAAACTTCTGCATCACTGTGCGAACACTGTTCGATTTGAAATACCAGGCTTCTTTCGTACATACCGAGTTTACTATGCAATGGTTCTGAATATTAATAATAATAAAAGAATAATTGCAGGAACGCCAGTTATTAACGTGCTATTTCTGCGTTTACACAACTCGATGATCACGCAAACAAAGCAAGGAATTGAGGAACCGCGTTTTACTTGATAACGGAGTTGCATAGTACACTGCTATTCATTTAGCTATAGTGGATGTGAGGCCATATAAGATCATAGCTTTCATAACTGAGAATCGGCCTAGATGGAATGTATTCATCTTGAAATATTTGGGCCCGTTTGTGTGTCTATTCTGTGTCTCTGTGTTCCTGCGTTAATATTTTAAGATGCATAACATGCATTCTGGCCAGGCTATGGCGGCACTGAAAGCCCTCCAAAATGTCACACGATAGCGCAGTTGCAATAGCCTCACGACATGGGGAAGAAAGTGGTAGTAGCCATGCCAGAGCAAATTTCAATCTGATACTTATAATACTAAACGCAATACTATACGTAAAATAATATATTATTTGGTACAAGTGTTCACAACGGCAAAGATAGAGAAATAACAGTTTGTCCTATTTTCACAAAGACGCGTAAAAATAATTTGCATCCAACGCGCAACTCGAATGATCTTGGTTCTGAATGTTTCCGGGGACTTTGAGAAATGCATGGGAAAGTTAAAATATAACTTATACAAAAATAAGCGTGATACCATGGATACCAGGTGCTCAGCTGTGAAATCGTTATCCGGCTTTTGCGTAATACCTGCGTGACGAACGTAGTAAAGCCAGTTTATTCTCATTATTGGCGCTTATATTGAATGGGTTGCGAAGAGAGACCTGTAGCATTTCGTCAGTTATTTCAGAAGTGACTCAAACTAAAAGCGATACTCCAATAAGATGTCAACTTCCATGCCAGAACAAGGCGAATACGGTATTTTTCAACGCATCTTATTCGTGGAATTCGCTCTGGAAAAGCGAGGTAATTACTAAGGAGCGTATACTAATAATGGAAATCTGTAACAACGAAGAAAAAAAAGAAGCTTTTTGTTGCTGTTTGCAATACGTGCAAGAGAAACATCGCATAATAAAATTGAATCAGAGCTATGATCTGCATCCTGCATGCAACAAACGAGAAAATGAATGCTACTGAGTTAAACTTCGTCGCGAATTCTTTGGTCTGAAAAGGCCATGTCCGTGGGACTTTTGTTAATAAAAGTTTTGTGAATGAATGACCTAATTCCTCTCCACCCATATAACCTTTCTCGAAATACTTAAAAGGCACGCATAGTGGATGGTACTTGTTCACTTCTTTAGCCTACCCACTGTCACGCGCAAGCCTTCGCCGCGTAACCGCAGCACCTTGTAGTAATTATGATAACGAAGTCACCCAATTATCTCGTTCTCGCCCCCCATTCCTTCATTCAAATGTGGCCTGCTCGCAGCCCTGCAAAACCATGCTTCCAAGTGCAAGACCCGGTCGGTCTATTCAACGTGGGGCCACACTTGATTTCAGTCGCCCTACTTTTCAGCGCTCTTTTTTCGCGTGCATGTTTCTCTTAATTTAGTAGTAGTTCTCTCTTTGTAAGTTTCTTCCTTTGCCTGAAGTGAACGCGCGTATACACACTACACCAGCGGTCCCACACAGCTACCTCAATTAGGCGTCATTAGGTGCTCCTCTATTCAATTCTTCGCTTTTGCCATCCCGTTGGTTTTTGTCGTTTCACTTTTGTTGCTTTTTTTTTTCGAGGTTCATGGATGAGCAGGAGCCAGATGTGAGCATGGCACGCTGATTGAAAGTGGTTACGAGGCATCATTAGGGCAGCGTGGACAAATGGACTACCGCACCTTCTTTCCTTTTTTTTTTTTTTGTATTTGCGTCCGCACCACCTCTTTCACTCTGCCCGCTACCACCGCCATCCCTCTTTCCGCCTAGGTTTCTGCTTTTTGGGCTGCGTGCTATTTAAGGAGGAAGCCGCTGTACGACGCCCACGTGCCGAGCAACAACGTGGAACTCGAAGTAATAAAGAAGCTCTCCTGCAAAACACGAGCCTGAAGTCTGCCTTTCTGCCTATGTAATTATGTGCAACACTGCACGAGCTGTTTAGGCCTGTACAACCTGTGAACTATGCCCGCGTCGTTGATTCTTTCCAACAGTGGAGGTTTATGCCATTGTGTAAGGATTCAAATTTGCGTGTTTGTTTTCAAAGCGAGAGTGTCAAAGAGCTCGTTTCGCGAAAATTCCGGTGTCGGCATCGTTATTTGAGAGCGAAAAAAAAAACGTCATTTTGTGCGTGGCCGAAAAATCGAGAAAGATGGCAAATAAAGTAGTAAAACATTTTGGGCCTGAGCAAGATTCGAACCCGGGTTGTTTGCGTGGCAAGCGTCTGTTCTACCACATGAGACACGTGTCTGTTTAAAAATACGGTAAAAATAACTTCCTCTGCTTGGAAATGCAGTGAAAGTAAATGGAATGCTTCACAAACACGCGCGTCCTGTATACCTGCTTCCACAATGACACATGTAATATCGCAGTAGTAATGTGTGATACAAGTGCCCCGCCGCGGTGATCTAGTGGCTAAGGTACTCGACTGCAGACCCGCAGGTCGCGGGTTCGAATCCCGGCTGCAGCGGCTGCATTTTCGATGGAGACGGAAGAGTTGTAGGCCCGTGTGCTCAGATTTTGGGTGCACGTTAAAGAACCCCAGGTGGTCAAAATTTCCGGAGTCCTCCACTACAGGTGTCTCTAATAAACATATGATGGTTTCGGAAGCGGTAAACCCC